ATATTATATGTAAATAATAAATATACGTATCCTTTGCTATTGTGCAGAGAAGAGGAAGCCCCTAACTCTGCTTGCAGAAGTTGTAGCGGTGAGGAAAAGAAGGCTGTACAGAAGATGGCAGTTTGATAAAATGAGGGAGGTCATTTATAACTTGTATCAAGGCACAGAGGAATGATATTTTTGTCATGTATTAGCAAGTGCAAGTCATGGATAACTCTAGATGCAATCGAGAGAATAGTTCAGATGAGGTTGAAAATTAGGCAAGGATTTTTTTTTTATAGTCAAAAGCTTCAAAATTATCTTAAGCAAGAATATGCATGTGAAGAAAGGTTTTCTTCAGAAATTGCAGATCATATACTTGAGTATATGTAAGTACTATAAAATATGCTTCTAAAAAGTCAGCTTTTGTGACATAAAATTAACTTAAAAAGCACTAGTAAATGTAACCATAAAATATATCTCTTCTGAAGGTTTTAGTGACAAAGCAAATTGGTTACAAATTTAATGTTGCCAAATTTTATGTGCAGAGAAGATTCTACAAAATTTAATAGTGGTGGGAGGAAAATCTTGGTAACTGGGATGGAAATATAATTTAGTAACTGGACAGATCTATGGACGATTATCAGTGTATAAAGAAATACTGTGGGCTATTTATTAACTAATAAGAATAGTTGCTAAACTGCAATTTTTACAGGGGAGTGAATGCTTGCTTTTTAAAAAAAGTTAATACCTTCCACTATCTCCTCCAAAAAAAGAAAGAAAGAAAGAAAGAAAAGAAAAACAAGGTGAAGACGGACGACGCCTTCCACCTAGACCACGGTGCCTTTCGCGTTTCTCTGGCTGCGGGCGAGGCCTGCTGGGCTTGCGCGGGGCGGAGCCGACAGTGACGTGCCCGTGCACCGCAAGGCATTGTGGGGAGCTCTAGCTTACGAGTGAGGTGGTTGGAAGCGAGGTGGGGGTGGCCGTTTGTTTTCTCGTAGTCTCGAACTCGCGCGCTCTCTTCCCCTCCCCCCGGTGTGCGGCTGGGCGGAGAAACGGCGGCGGCGGCGGCAGTGGCTGTAGCTGTAGCAGTAGCATCGGACAACCTCCTTTCCTCTCCCGCGAACTGGTTCCTCTTCCCCCTCCCTCTCACTGTTTGTTGTGTGTTTGATGTGTTAAAGCAGGAGCGAGAACGCGAGCAGCGCCATGAGCAACACTACCGTCGTCCCCAGCACTGCGGGCCCAGGCCCCAGCGGCGGGCCCGGTGGCGGAGGTGGTGGCGGCGGAGGCGGCGGCACCGAGGTAATCCAGGTGACTAATGTCTCCCCGAGCGCTAGCTCTGAGCAGATGCGGACTCTCTTCGGTTTCCTAGGCAAGATCGACGAACTGCGCCTCTTCCCGCCGGAGTGAGTATCGTCCACCATCACCGTTTTTGCTAACGCCGCCGCAGCTCAGGCAGGCCTAACCCACACCATTTCCTTAGGCCCTTGTCGCTGCTTTCCTGGGCTAGGCTGCTTTAGTTGATAGTGGCTATTGCATTTATTTACGAAAGAGTCTATGTTTCAGATCTACCCAAAAAATTCAGGAGCAAGGCCAGGGCTTTTTGGGATTGAGAAACACTGGCTCTTAATCTGGGGAATTTTTTCCTCCTTAAATTGTGCCAACGTGGTCGTTTTGCTTCGAGCACTTAAAGCAAGACCAACTACACTTTGTGTATTTCGTATATAGGTTAAATCCCTTTTTTAAAAAAATTGAGTGTTTTTTCTGTGCATTCTTGTAAGAAAGGTCACAAAATTATTTATGCTTGTGTTCATTTGGTGTTGAACTTTGGAGATTGTTGTTCACTTATTGCTAAGTATTGCTGTTAAGTGAGTCTGGCCCAGCGGATATGATTCAAAGATCATACCCTTTTTGACAGTTAATTCAGTCAGGCTGAATACTTAATTCTCAAACTCCTGACCTGGAGCGATCCTCCCCCCTTGGCCTCCCAGAATGCTAGGATTACAGGCGTGAACCACCGCGCCCGCCTGAGTACTTAATTCTTATATTAGAAATAGATTATACCTGAAGGCAAGGATTTTCCCTTTGTTCAAATAATTTACGGATTTATGATATTTCACAGTTCTAGAGAAGGAATTGTATAATTATTTGAGAAGGAATTATAGTTACATTTATAT